AGTGACAGACACTGATGCTAAACAGAGCTGACATTTTTTTGACTTGTGAACCAAAGTGGACTTTTCATTTATTTTTTTTAATTTACCCCAATGGAATCCAAAGGGCATTTTTCCTGAAGATGTTATAATGTTTCATGAGGTAGTTATAAAACTTTATCTTACATGGATTATGGTAGCACCTAAAAGCTTCAATCAAGTCTAATTCTCATTGTAGCATACAAAGACATAGGAAGAGACAGTCCCTACCCTGAAAAGCTTACAATCTAAGCAAGGAAGGGTGGGATAAAAGGAAGAATTAGTATCCAATTTCACATATGGAGAAGTATGGCCCAGAGAGATCAAGTAACTTGCTCAAGGTCACACAGGAAGTCCATGGCAGAACTAGGAACTGAACCTGAATATCCTGAGCCCAGACCCACCAACGGGGGCTGGGGAGGGGGGAAAGGCGGGGAGAAAGAGGGCAGTTGCCCGGGGCCCAATGATTTAAAAGGGCCCAGGGCATCCAGCCGCTGCCACAGCTACTGCAGCAGCAGTGTTGCCTGGAGCCAGTGGCACTAAGTGCTGTCTGTAGGGGAGAGGAAGGAGCTGTGGTGCACTCTGGATGGTGCTGAGGGCCCCAGGCCTCACTCCTTCCGCCCAAGACCCAAAGACGCTGGGGACAGTAAGCACAAGACCATCTCCTGGCTGACTTCTTTACTGCAGGGATAAAAATATACCTAATATATGAAGAAAAATGAATATTTCAGAAGCTGCCCCATATAACGCTGTGAAACATGAACGTTCCACTAAAACCAAAAAAGTAGCATTTTGCTATCACTATGCTTCATGCCGGTACAGAGCAAAAGCTGCAGTAGGGCACAGAAGCAAGGTTCCCTCTAAGCTGCGTGGCAGCAAGGCCTCGCAGCTGCTTAATGAGCCCCACCCACAGGCTCAGAGCTGCTGCACACAGAGCTGCCTGGCTGGGGAAGGGTCACTTCTCCCTCAGCTACAGCAGTAGCTCCCTGCTGAGGACAGAGCAGTGGTTCTCTCCCAGCTGGTAGGGTGGGGGACGTATCCCTACTGGCTGGGAGAGACATGCAATTGTGAGTGCCCCTTCCTTTCAGCCTAGTGCCCAACACAGGTATTTAATTCAAATATAGCAAGACAAGACTGCCCACTTCAGAACTGTGGTGGTCATCCTCCTCCTCAACATTGCCCATCTTATTTTGGTGATGCCATGCCAGGACTCTCGGATCTTCCTGGAGTTAACAGTGCCAGCAATAAAGGTACTTTGGGTTTTTTTGTTCATATCAGATTCAGACAAGGCAAAATCACAGTCCTTGTTCTTGGCGGCTCTCCTTTTATGCATCTCCTTGGAGGCTCAGGATCCCAAATTGGGCAAAAAGATGCTGAGCCATGGTTGCCAATCTCCCTTCTCACCCAGTCCCAAGGTACGATCTAAGCTCAGAAACCTCAGTGGCACTGCAACTTCAAAACCATCTATTACACTGAACTGTGTGTATGTTAGCTGCATGATCACCCTTAGGAAAGAAGTTTTTTTAAAATGGAAATTACCTGACCCATCATGTTTTTGGTAAAACAGTACATTTTTATAACTGAATATGGGAAAACAAAGACTCATCTTTACACCAGAGGAAGGCTGTGTCTGTGGTTAACTCACTGTACTGAGTTCAGGGAATATGGGTTTAATTCTTGGATCTGCTGTAGACTTCCTATATGCCCTCGGGCAAATCAGTCTCTCTGCCTCATTTCCCCATCTGCAAAGTGGGAACAATGCTTCCTTTGTCCATCTTGTCTATTTAAGCTCATAAACTCTTTG